TTTTTTTAAAGACTCAGATTTTGGGTTCATTTTTTTGGATTGATAGCCTACTTGTAGTTTCATTGGTTTCTGCTCTAATTTATGACACTTTTTTTTTGCTTCCTTTTTGTTTATTTAGTTGGTTTGTTTTATGGACTTTTTTTTTGAGTATGTCAGGTTGGCCTTGAATTTAGAATCCTTCTGCCTCAACCTCCTGAGTGCTGAGATTACAGTTTTGTAGCACCACATCCAGATTATTTCTTTTTCTGCTTATTTTGGGTTTAATTGCCCTTCTTTTAATTAGCTGAAGTGACAGCTTAGGTTGTTAGTTTAGCTCCTTTTCCTTTTCTGATAAAGGCTTCCAATGTGATGAATTTCTCCCTGAATATTGCCTTCATTATACACTGTAAATTTGTTGATGCATTTTGTTTTGAATTTATTGAAAAAATTTAATTTCTCCTAAGTATGCCTCTTTGAACCATTGTGTTGCTTAATCTCCAAGTATTTGGGGGATTTCCAATTACTTTTTTATTATTGACTTTGTGTGTGTGTGTGTGTGTGTGTGTGTCTGTGTGTGTGTGTCTGTGTGTCTGTGTCTGTGTCTGTGTGTTGCTGGGGACTGAAGCCATGACCTCACATATTCTAGTCAAGCACTTTATCGCTGTGTGACATCTCCAGCCCCTTGACTTCTAAATTAACTCCATGTCTCCTGACATCATGCTTTGTATGAATCCTTTTCTTCCAAATTTGCTCAGGTGTTTTCTGGCCAAGAATGTGATCTATCTCTAATGTCCCACGAGAGCTCAAGGAGAGTATGTATGTGCTGTTTTTGGGTGAAGCCTCCTTAGATGTTCACTGTGTCCAGCTGGTGATGCAGTAAAGACTGACTGTAGCCATACTAATTTTGACCTTTGACCTACTAGATTCATCTCTCTGAAGGCTTTAACATTTTTTTAAAAAAATTTATTATTTAAAAAAATTTTATGTGTATGCATGTATTGCCTGCATGTAGGTATGTGCACCTGTGTCGTGTAGTGCCAGCAGAGGACAGAAGAGGCTATTGGATCCCTTGGAACTGGAGCTATAGACAGTTGTTAGCTGCCAGGCGGGTGCTGGGATTAGAACCCAGGTCTTCTGCAAGAACAACTGCTGAGCCATCTCTCCAGCCCCAGCTTTAACACTTCTAATAAACCAACTCTACTGGCACAGAATCCCCTCAATTTTCATTTGTCTGAAAGGGTATTTCTCCTTTATCTTTAATGGATAAATCACTGAATACAGAATTCAAGCTAGTAGAATTTGTTTCCCTTACAAGCCTTTAAATATCATTTCACTTTTTAAAATGTGTCTGTGTGTACATGTGTGTGTGACATGCACGTGTGTGTGTGTGTGTGTGTGTCTGTATTTGTGTCTGTGAGTCTGTGTGTGTACGCACATGCACATTTGGAGGCCAGAGGTCAACCATGGGTATCAGCCTCAGGAACAATGTCCACTACCTTTGAGACAGAGTCTCTCATTCTGGAGGTCACCCATTAGGCTAGATTGGCTGACCAGTGAGTCCTGTCTCCACCTCCCCAGCACATGCCACCGTGTCTGGCATTTTTACATGGGTTCTGGGGATTAAACTTGAGGTACAACCCCCAAGCCATCACTTCACTCTTTAAAAATTTTTAGTGTAAAAATAAGAACAACAAATTTTATATTTTCATATATATATATATCTCACTGTACTTGGCTCATATGCACTCTTTATTAACTGTCCTTACTGGTCCCCTTCCTCTCCCTTCTGATTCCACATTATCTATCTATCTATCTATCTATCTATCTATCTATCTATCTATCATCTATCTTATATCTGCCTATGTATGTATGTATGTATGTATCTATCTATGTATCTATCTGTCATTTATCTGCCTATCTATCTATCTATGTATCTATCTATCTATCTATCTATCATCTATATATCCATCCATCTATATACTATCCATGTATAATCTATCTACCTATCTACCTATCTATTTAACCATGTATATCCATCTGTCATCTATCTACTCATCTATCCATCTATGTATTATCTATGTATCTACCCATCTATTCACCTATCATCTTTTTTTTGTTTTGTTTTTTTGAGACAGGAACAATGTCTGTAGCCCCAGCTGGCCTGGAACTCACTACGTAGACCAGGTTGGACTTGAACTCACAGAGATCTGCCTGCCTCTGCCTCCCAAGTGCTGGGATTAAAGGCGTGAGCCACCACGCCTGGCTGTTCTTTTTTAAAAAGAAATTTTATTATTTTCATTTTTTATGTGTAGGAGTGTATTGTCTGCATGTATGTGAGTGCACCTGTATCATGCAATGCTGTGGAGGTCAGAAGAGGGCTTCGGATTCCCCTGGACTGGAGTTAAGAACAATTCGTAGCTGCCATGTGGATGCTGGGAATCGAACCTGGGTCCTCTGGAAGAGCAGTCAGTGCTCTTAACCACTGAGCCATCTCTCCAGCCCCAACAGTTGGTGTTCTTAACCACTGAGCCATTTCTTCAGCCGCACAAGAACTCTATTTTCCAGGTTTACTTCACTCTTGCTTGCATGCTTTCAGAAGAAAAGTCCAATGTAATTCTTACCCCTGATCCTCTATAGGTAAGGTGCTCTACTTCCCTCAGGCTTCTCTCTCAACTTCATTTTTGATACTCTCCAGGTTGAATATAATATCTATATGAATATAACTTTGCTATCTGCCATGCTAGGTGTTTTCTGTGCCCCTCGGATCTGTGTCTTGGCATCTGTCATTACTTTTGGAAAATGCTCAGCCATCATTACTGTAAACATTTCTCTGTCCCTTCTCTATTCTGGCCTTCTCATTGTGCATATGCTGTATTTTGTAATTATCCTGAGACTGTTGATTTTCTTTTTTTTCTCTTTACATTTCAAGTTTGGAAGTTGTTGTTGATATTTCTTTATGCTTATTGATTCCTTCCTCAGCCATACTCACTCTACTGATGAGACATCAAAGTTACCTTTGTTTGTTTATACCGCGTTATTTCTAGTGCTTCCTTGTTATTCTTTATACAATCTGTCTACTTATTTTTATATTTTTATGTGCATTTTGCCTGCAAGTTAAGTGCATCACGCAGTCCCTGGAGAGGCCAGAAGAGGGTGTCGGATCTCTGGAACTGGAGTTATAGATGGGTGTTAGCCATTCTTCGGGTGCTGGGAACTAAACCCAGGTCCTTTGCAGTAACAGCCAAGTGCCCTTAAGTGCTGAGCCATCTCTCTAGCTCCCTCATTTTAATACTTTCTAATTATCTTATCTCCACTTGTTTTTTGTGGTTTGTTTTTTGTTTTGTTTTGAGACAGGGTCTCCCTGTAGTCCCAGCTGGCCTTGAACTCACAGAGATTCGCCTGCCTCTGCCCCAGTGCTGGGATTAAAGAGTGCGACACCACGCCCAGCAGATCTCCACTTTTAAAACCCACTTATTTTTGTGTGTGGTTCACTTTTTCCCTAGGAGCCATCAGCGTATTATTCACACTTAGTTTAAATTCCTGATTTGATAATCTTAGTGTCTCTATCATATTTGAGTTTTGCTTTTGCTGTATCTCTTTAAACGTGCTTGGTCTATCTCTTTACATGCCTTGTCATTTTTGTTGCTGTTATTGAAAACTGTAAAGGAGGTAAATTGGCATCATGGTGAAGTTTTATGCTTATGTGTTTGGGAGTTTGGTTCTGTTACTGTTTGTTACAGCTTTAAGTGTCAGAAGCTAACGCATCTTCTGCTGTTCTTGTCTCTGGGCTTCTCCAGAGTCTGCTTAGAGAAGGTCTGAAATGGGCAGCTAGATGTCAGTCACCCCCGCCCCCCAACCCCACCACTGGCCCCAGCCGTGGTTTCTGCTTCTGGTAAGGTGTGCTTCTTTGTATCTTCCTGTCTGTCTCTAACTGTGGGGTATTGTTTTACCTTATGACCTCAATCCTCCGAACTTTTTCTTCCTGCTGTTAGGATGAAAGCAATGATTTCTAAATAATTTATATACTGAATTAGAAACCAAATGTATATCTATTTGTCTACTTTTTTGAAAAATAGGATGAGAATGATAATTTTCAAGAACTTTACACACTGAATTAGAAACCATAAGTATATCTATTTGTCCACTTTTTTGAAAAATAACTTTTCTCAATATAAACTGAATGTTTAAAATGACTGCAATACAATATAATTTAAATTCTATTTTTTGGGTACAATGGAGTAAGCTAAAAATGGGAATCAAATATCTAATTCCTAAACATGAGAGTCTCTGTAGAATTTTATTGAGTTGAAACAGCCATGAGAATAGGCATTTTCCTCTCAGAGAACATTTGGAGGAAAAAAAATAACCAGAACATCAAAATCAGAAAAAAACTAAATGTCATCTATTCCATAGCCTCTGTATATTTTATATTTTAGAATATTCAAAATCTTAGTGTTCTTCTTGATCAATTATAAATATCAAATGTGTTTCTTGAGATCAACAGAAGGCAAATATTAAGAGCCCGGAGAAGGAATGCATGGTTCGAAGCACGCAGGCCGATTGGTTTTTTCCTTTCTAGGTAGACTGAATTCACATTTTATGCATGGCAACAATTTCATTTTCATCCTTGGGTAATGCTGCTGTTTCAGTCTGAAAGGGGGTAAACATTAATCGCTTACTATGTTTTGAGTCTTCAGCAATGAATGGGTTTAAAGATGTGGTTTGCAGAGCTTGGGTGGTGAATATAAGATTGATGGCTTCAAAGATCTCAATTGCTTTGGCTGTTTTGAGAAGATAATATTGTGAAATCACAATATGATGACATCATCTTTATTAAGGAGTAGATAAGATGATGGAAGGGCTTAGCATCTCCACCCTCAACCTCAAAGGCACTCTCTGTGTCTTGCTTGTATTACTGTGCACATGAACTTCTAAAGATATCCAGTTACATATAGATAGAAATTTCGATCTTGAAACACCACATCTTTTAATCCTACTGTCCCCAGTAGACTATTTCTTACCAGGAAGTATTTGTTTCCAGGTGTGACAAAGTCAATTGCCTGAAATTTCCCATCACAAGCATCCAGGATTTTATCTAAAGCTGGCTCCTCACCAAATGTGTAGCTATAAACAGACCCCTAAAAAATACACACAAATATATACACAAAGAAAAAAAATGTTACAATTATTGCACATGCAGGTCAACAAATACTTGTTCAATACCCACTTTTAGTGGCACACTGTTAGGGACAAGGAGTTGAGAAGTCACAGATTTCAACAGGGCCCTGGCCTTGAGGAACTTACAACTTATAAGTCTTATTTATTACTTTAAATGAGTGAATGACTCAACAAATCAATAAATACAGGAAGAGACAAGAGTATAGGAGAAAGGCCAAGGATGGGATGTGGAGTCTACATCATGAGAGGTCATTTAGAGCACGGCATCTTTGGCTTTCACTCATGAGAAATCCCACTGTGGGTCACTGTGGGTCCTAGTTTGCTGGCCTCTGCACTACAGGAAAGATTCCCTCCCTCCCTCTTTCCCCCCTCTCTCCCTTTCTCCCTTCCTTTCTTCCTTCTTTTTTTTTCAGACAGGGTCTTTTTTTTTTTTTTTGGTCTTTTTGACAGGGTCTCCCTATAGCCCGAGTTGTCCTGGAACTCACTATGTAGACCTGGCTGGCCTTGAACTCACAGAACTCCACCTGCCTCTGCCTCCCAAGTGCTGGGACTACAGGCGTGAGCCACCATGCCCGGCTGATAGGGTCTTTTTATATAGCCCAGACTGGCACTGAACTCCCAATTCTCCTGCCTTAGCTTTTTGAGTTCTGAGATTATAAATGTGTACCCCCATGCATGGCACCACTATTTCTTACTTATAATACTGTCACATAAAAGTCCAGGTATATATTTAACTGCTTGCTTTGTTATTGTTTTGAGATGGGGTCTCACATAGCCTATGCAGTCCTCACAGTTAGCTATGTAGCTGAGGATGGCCCTGAACTCCTGATCACCTTTCCTCTGCTTCTTAAGTAGGGGGCTCACAGGCGTATGCTGCCACACCTGGCTTGAAATTTCTTTGTAATTTCTTATAGTTTTTCTTTTCTCTTAAAATTGATGAAATTTTTAAATTTTAGTCTTTTTTTTTTTCCAAGAATTTCATCTTGGGAGCTGTAAGTGTGGCTTGTGTTCCCTCTTGGGGTTTACTAGACCTCTTAAATATGTAAATTCATCTCTTTATTCATTTCTGTAAAGTTACAAGTTAATATCTCTTGGACCATTACCTCTGCCACACCCTCAGTGCTCCTAGGACTCCAACCTGGCATCACCTATCCTTCCTCCTGTGCCTTCTTCCATTTTGCTTCTTCGGCCAACATGCTTAACAATCTTTTCTGATTCATCCTCTAGCTTATCAATGATCTCTTTAGCTATGCCAGATCTTTTGTCAGATATGTTCACTTAATGTTGTCTTTGTTGGTTTTTTTTTTTTTTCGGTTTTTAGTAGTTTTCTTTGGAGCCTTTCTTTTTCTGTTAGGATACTTTTCAAAATAGTTTCTTGTTCTCCATAGATTTTTTAAAAATATATTTTATTTATTATTTCAATTTTTTGTGTATGAGTGTATTGCCTCCATGTAAGTGAGTGCACCCGGGTCGTGCAATGCCGCAGAGGTCAGAAGAGGGCTTCAAATTCCCCTGGAACTGGAGTTAAGGACGGTTCATAGCCGCCATGTGGGTGCTGGGAATCAAACCTGGGTCCTCTGCAAGAGCAATCAGTAACCGTTCTTAACTGCTGAGACATCTCTCTTGCCCCTGCATAGATATTTTTAGTTTATCATTTATTTATAAAAACATAGCACTGTTGTTTTGACGCTAGCAATTTTCTCAAATTTAAAACAAAAAGATTAGCCAGGTGTAGTGGTATACACCTTTAGTTCCAGCACTCAGGAGGCAGAGGCAGGTGAATCTCTGTGGGCTCAAGGCCAACCTGGTCTACATAGTAAGTTCCAGGCCAGCCCAATTACATGGAGACCTTGTCTCTAGAAGACTCCCCCCCAAAACAAAACCACTAAAAGATTAAACTTTATATATAACCTATCCAATGTTGTTGCATAACAATATAAATGACTGCTACTCTTGACCTCTGAGGGTCATTTTATTAATTAGTAATCTTTCTAACTGTATAATCCAGAGAGTCATTTGTTTTAAGCCTACATTGATTCTCAACCTTCTTCTCTCCCAGAACTCCTATTTTCCTAAGAGAACCACCCGTACTACCAATCATAGACACATATTGGTGACATAATTGGCCATGTGGACTATAACCGCAGTCCAAGGGTAGACATGTGACTTGGGCCTAGCCAGTGAGAGCTTAGGCTTCTGATCGGAATGATTGATATAGGAGTAGACAGTGACTAAGTTAGTCCATGGGTCTATACTCTGGGACATTTTTTTCCAGTTGATAAATTTCTTCCAAAGTCACCAAGGGGACAGAAATATAAGCTGGAATTGCAGAAAACTCATAACACCAGGAAGGGACAAGTCTGCAAGAAAACTGAGGCAGCAAAGGGGAAATAGAGCCAGGATACATGGCAGACAAAGCCCAGTGGGATCGTGGAAGCCCCTGGGTTAAGGTTCACTCTTTGTGCTTTTGGTATTTATATAGAAACAAGCATCTATTTGCTATTTAGGCCTTTATTTAGAGTAATTTTTCATTTGCAATAGAAAGAGGCTCAACCAGAAGAAAATCATTATACAACATACTCTGTTCTTCATTCTTTTTTTTTTTTAATGTATATGGAGTGTATTGCTTGCATGTATGTAAGTGCACACATGTCATGCAGTGCCCAAGGAGGTCAGAAGAGGGTGTTGAATTCCCCTGGAACTGGAATTACGGATGGTTGTTAGTGGCCATGTGGGTGCTGGGAATTGAGTCCAGGTCCTCTGCAAGAGCAGTCAGTGTTAATTGCTGAGCCATCTCTCCAGACCCTGTTCTTTATTCTTATCATGCAATGATAATAGTGTCTGAAAATTTATATATAAAAAATCACCATCTAACATACCGTGTCAGTTTGAATCAGCAACATTTTGTAACTGGGAGAAAACAGCAAAGAAAACACTGGTTCTTCAACCTCGAGAATAATCTTTACTTGGTACTTTAAATCTTTAATAATAAAAGAGTATATAATGCCATCCTACAAACCAAACACAATGAGATAAAGTCAGGCTCTGCTGATGTACAGTACACTTTTCCCATCAGATGAGTCTAGGCTCAGGAATTACTGCTTACCCTTTTCTTAGGATCACCATTTATGTTTACATCATGTGAAGTGCACTGTTCTTTCATCCTTACTTAGCAACTTTTAACAATGTTCCTAGGTCAGCCTCAATTTTGTCTCTTTTGTGACACATTTTTCAATTACCTAAAATTTTTACTGGTCAGTCCTTCTTTAAAAAATGTTTTATTTATTATTTTTATTTTATGTGTATGAGTATATTGCTTGCATGTATGTAAGTGCACCCATGTCATGCAATGTCCATGGAGGTCAGAAGAGGGTGTCGGATGCACTGAAATTGGAGTCATGGACAGTTGTTAGCCACCATGTGGCTGCTGGGAACTGAACCTGGGTCTGTTGCAAGAGCAGCCAGTGCTCTTAACCACTGAGCCATCTTTCCATCCTGTCATTCCTTTCTTTGAACGTGTCTCTGGCATCTACCATCACCCCATGGTCTTCACTATGCAGGATGAATGGGGCAGGGTCTGTGTGGCTTATAAATATCCTTATTTCAAAGGATACCAGCCCTAAGTGTGTTCTTTAACCATTAACATGAACATTTCTTATCCATCTATGTGACCCAAAGGCAGGAATGTGTCTTTTAATTCCTGCGTCTCCTCTTCTCCAGTTCCTTCTACAGTACTAGAACACGTGAGGTGTTCAAAAAAAATTGAGCTGGTCACAAAGAAACAGTTTTCCAGGTGGCTGGGAACTTGCTCATATGAACTTAGAGCAATGGTGACAGCATGCACAAGACCCATGCAAGCTCAAACCAGACAAAAACCCAGCATAGAAGTGGGGAGATGGGTAAGAAGCCCCAGCCATAGCTGAGGAACTTTTGGCATCCCATGGCTATTGGGAAAGGGAGAGTTGGTTTTCTTTAAGGGACTGACTCTAAATAGGTTGGCCAGGCTCCAGAGGATGGACTCACACCAAGGGATATTTGGAGACACAACTTGGTTTGATAGGCCTTAACATATATGATAGAATACATGAAATCCCATGTGGGGCATATGGGAGTGCAGATAGGGGAGGGAGTCTGAATATGATCAAGATGTATGAAATTCACAAAAATTCAATTTAAAAAAATTTTTAAAAAATGAGCTGGTCAACTGGTTGCTTGTAAAATAAGCTAATTTAACTACTCTCAAGAAGAATTTGAGTTATTTTTATGATAGTGAAGAGGTTTTGGGGGAAGGTGTTCATCATTTTCTAGGTTGGACTCCATTATAACCAAGAGCGGAGAGATGCTGGATTTATTTATTTATTTAATATTTTATTTATTTTGTTTTATGTGTATGAGTGTATTGCCTGCATGTATGTAAGTGCACCTGTGCTGTGCAATGCCCGCAGAGGTCAGAAGAGGGCATTGGATCCCCCGGAACTAGAGTTATGGATGGTTGTTAGCTGCCATGTGAGTGCTGGGGATTGAACCTGGGTCCTCTGCAAGAGTAGTCAGTGCTCTTAACTGCTGGGCCCTCTCTCCAGTCCCCAATTTTTATTATTTTAAAAATTATGTGTGTATGTGTATGTTTCTGTGTGAATTTTGTCCATGTGAGTGCAGTACCTGTATAAGCCAGAAGAGGGCAGTGCATCCCCTAGAGCTGGAGTTAAGGCAGTTGCCAGCTGCCTGCTGAGGGTGCCTGGATCCTCAACAAGGCAGCACACACTCTTAACTGCTGAGCCATCTCTCCAGCCCCAAGATACTGGATTTCTATGGTTGGGACTTGGGTGTTGGTGAGACATGTAAAGTGTTTTCTCTAAGCTCATCATCTTTCTCAGTCTCTTGCCAGAGCAAATGCTATAATCATTTCTTACGTTAAAAAAAACACTGTGGTTGGCCTTGAAGAAAACAAAAGTCTCTGAGGCCACCAAGGGCGACAATGTAGTAAAGAGGGGGTCATAGTGCAGTGCAAAGTGAAGGGAGGGAAATGCAAGCTGGGTTCCTGATGGCTTTTGCTGGGTGGAACTACAACTTTCATCCTGATGGCATGGCCTGCCTGACCCAGGGTAATCTGGCAGTGAAGAGACAAAGCTAACAACAGACTAGGGACAGTTTTGACTAGACTTGAGATTTTAGTGTAATCTGGCTACAAATGTTAACATGAATGACACTGATTAAAACTGCATGGAAACATGATCTGACTCCATTTCAAACCTCCTAGAGCAGAAGGCAGGTTCACTTGCTGGTTACTGTAAAAAGACTCGATAGCTCCATCTGCATAACGAGAACATCAAACTGCTATCTGACAAGGTCATTGTAAGGATCAATAAGAGTATGTAAATGCACCCATGTCATGCAATGTCCTTGGAGGTCAGAAGAGGGTGTCGGATGCACTGAAATTGGAGTCATGCCACTTAGCATGGTGCCTGGTACACAATGTGGCTAAGTAAATCAGCCCAAGTAAACGGAAATTAGTAATACTAAATCTAATTATCAACAGTAACAGTTTGACATGTCAGCTAAACGGTCATGCTTAAGACCCTACCCTGAAACTTAGATAAAAGATCCAAGTTCGCATCTGACAACCTAATACATTATTGTAGAAATAGTGGGAATGGAATTGGGGTGCAGACATCGGGTATTTTTTCCCTGGACAGGAGGGGACAGCAGTAGATTTTTAAAAAATCTATTTTTGTTTATTTGTGACAACACAGACATATAATTCATTACCTGTCTTTGCTGTTTTTGTATGTCACTGAAAAATTTCACAATAAAATCATTTTTATCATAGCATTCAACAAAGAAACCATTTTAATTACCAATCTGAAAAAGCTTGACAGGCCAATTTGGCTCTTAATGGTAAATGGTGTGAGTAGGAAGTGTGTTTTTTCATGAAACAGTAATTTTGGAAAATAAAATACATTACAATTCCAGAAGTAAGTAGACCATCCTTCTGATATACCATGCTGACTGGACTGATAAGCGGGGCTACATTGTCTGAAAAAGCAAAAAAGAAGGTAAAGTAGACAGCACACAGCAATTGAACAAGGAAGAGTAAAAGCTGCTTAGCAAGGACTAGCTGCAGAAGTCAAACAAATTGTGTTGTAGTCTACATCACCAGATCCAGGTAACGGGTATGAGAGAATTATATAATAAATATATTTCTTTTTTCAGAAAAGCTTTGTCAGAAGTTTGGGCATTACACAACAAATCAAAACTATATTTTTACTGAGCTATATACTTAAGATTGATGCGCCTTATGGTATGTAAATTGGTATCAATAAATAAAGCACAATAGAGAAAAAGAAAGTGAAGAAAGTTGTATAAGAACACTTATTATTAATAAAATATTGTCCTTGGGGGGAAAATAATCAACCATGTTACCTTTATTTAAAACATTTTATTTATTATTTTTATTTTATGTGTATGTGTATATTGCCTGCATGTAGGTAAGAGCACCCGTGTCATGCAATGCCCGGGGAGGACAGAAGAGGCTGTCGGATCCCCTCAGACTGGAGTTTTACAGACAGTTGTTAGCTGCCATGTGGGTGCTGGGATTTGAAATCGGGTTTCCTGCAAGAACAACCAGTGTTCTTAACTGCTGAGCCATCTCTCCAGCCCCCATGTTACCTTTTTGTGTGGACAAACTGTGAGAACTATAGAGGTGACTCAGAGGGCATCCACCCCATTATTCCTGCATAACACTTGCCTGACATTTTGTTGCTTGCTGGGAAGTGTACTGTCCTTTCCGTCAATCATCACTCAGCTCCCAGCAGTCCCTTCTGCAACCCAATTGCCTCTGGAGTCTGGCTTCTTATGGCTCCTGACCATATTTTATTAATAATAAATGTTCTTACATAACTTTCTTCACTTTTTTTTCTCTACTGTGCTTTATTGATATCAACTTACATGCCATGAAATGCATCAATCTTGACAGATTCTCCCTGTCCTGAACTGTGGCTAAATTAACCTGTGAAAGCACAATTATGACTGAGGTACAGCCTCACTTGGGGGATTTTGGTGTCTTCCTATCAGTCCCTTTGGCTACAATTATTTATCTACTTGACTTTAATAAAAGAGTGTGTATTTGTCATATATGTACTTTGCTTAGTGTCTTTCATATTATAATGGAACTTGAAAAATATATATTTGGCCTTGTCTTTCACATTATAATGGCACCTGAAAAATATATATTTTGCCTTTTTTTTGGAAACAAGATCGGTCTTAGGTAGCCTGGAATGGTCTCAAACTCTTATTCCACCAGCCTCAGGCTCCTGAGTACTGAGATTACAGGCATGTGCCACCACACCCAATTGATAAATATGTATTTGAAAGCATCTATAAAAGAAATAATATATAGGAAGGAAATTATGAACAATATAAAGACATGTAATTAAGTCCTAAATCATATAACATATATTAGAAGTGTGATAGGCATTTGGAAGTGAGAGGCATTGTTTTATAATTCATTCTGCAAGTACATGGAGGGGCCACTTGATTTGGCTGTGATATCTGGGATTAGAAAGAACCAAAGAGGGGCTGGAGAGATGGCTCAGCAGTGAAGAGCACTGGTGGTTCTTGCAGAAGACTTGGGTTTGAATCCCAGCACCCACATGGTGGCTAACAACTGTCTATAACTTCAGTTCCAGGGAATCCAATGTCTTCTTCTGACCTCCGTGGGCACTGCACAACACGGGTGCAGTTACACACATGCAGGCATAGCACTCATACACATAAAATAAAAATAAATAAAAGAGCCCCACCCAAAAATGAAGCTCTGAATAACTTCAGTAAGTTGATGACTAATGGGAAAGACAGGCTCGTGATCCACTGTGAAAACACAGGGCGAGGCTCTAACTAAGGAATAGAACCCATGGAAGTCCAGTGTGGGCACCTCATGTGCCTGAAGGTTGGGGTGGGGCTTGGGAAAGGTCCACGCAGAGGTAGACAAGGGAGAGAGAGACTTCGTTGCCAAAGGTAACTACAAAAGACAACTGACAGGTTAGCACAGGGATGAGCAGAAATTTTAACAGGTTCAAGCAGGAGGGCCTGAAACTGGAGGGCACAGAAAGAGGCTTGCTCTTAGAGAGCATCCAGGCTCCTAGGGAGGAGCAGACCTGGAGGGGCAGTCACAGTAGGGGCAGGCAGGGAAGAAAGCTTTTCCAGGGAAGTGTGAGTCAGAGATTGAGATGGGCTGGTATCTGAGCTGGACACTGGAGAGGGAAAGTGGTCAGGGAATGAGCTAGCAGTCACATCTGTGAAATGTCAGGAAGAAACATTGGCTAGAGAGGACTCATCTTGGGGGATCCTAGGATCCTAGGATCAGAGAAAGGCAGGCTTGACTTCAAGGCAGCATAGACCTTGTGCTGAGTGTTAAACACAGCCTTTGAAACGGCAGTTTGACGAGATTCAGCTGCCTGCTTTGGGTTAGGTGTAGATTAAGGTCAGTGAAGGTCCGAGGTTCTTGCACAAATCTGAGTGTAAACAGTGATAGGGATTAGGAAGTGCATGGGGCAGGTTTGAGTAGCTTATCCTGGAGAGGTTCCCTCCTCAGAGTCCACACCTTGGGTGGGTTTTGGTTCTTGTGATACGGGTCCTACCCTGGCCATAGCTGATGCGACCAAGAATGGGTACTGGGTGTAATGGAGAATTTATCCTTCCTCTTTGAAATTATAACCAAACCACACAAAAGAGAATTTTCAATATGGAAGTTATGAAGCAACATGGCCATCAGCACAGAGAATGAGGCTGAAAGGATGTGGAGCAGGAAAGAGCATGACTAGCTAGCTAAGAGGATTAGAAAAGGTCGGGAGATAAGAATTGAACTCCGAGGCCTTATTCCCTTGATTTAGGTGTCAGTCCCACAGTTTATATGAATCTGTGCTTTTTATTTTATATTTGTTTATTTTTTGTGTGTGTGTATGTTTTTTTTTTAACATTTATTTATTTTTTGTGGGGGGTGATGCACATCACCCTATGGAAGTCAGAGGACAACTTGTAGGAGTTGGTTCTCTCCTTCCATTGTGAAGTTCTCAGTGATCAAACTCAGTTTATCAAGTTTGCTAACAAGTATTAGAGTTCCAAAACACAGCAGCCCTCTCTGTATCCAACAGGGTCTCATGGACCTCGCAAGCCCCTGAGAAAAGGGAACCAAGTTGATAAGCACCCTGGTCTTTGAAGTCAAGGGAAGCAGACTCTTCTAAAAGGCAGCCTGACTTTCCTTTGATCTCCGAAGACAAGATAAGCAGATGCCACCTTTTAACCAGAGACTTCAGGACCCGCTTTAGTACAGCAGCTTTTCCCTTATCTTAAGAGGACAAAATTAAACACTTCCTGACCCAATCCTGGCTGGCAGACAGAAGGGAGTGGGTTTACAAGCCCCCACCCCTAATTTTTTCCAAAAAACTTACTGCCTTCTGCACCTCCCAAAGCCCCCCAATAAAAGCCCCAGCTCACAATCTGTGGGCTGACATTTTCCCTTCCCGGAAGGGAGCATGTCCCGTGGGAAATAAAACTCTATACCGCTGAGAGTTTTATCTGTGTCTTGGTGCTTTCTCCCAATCAACCCTATTAGTCTTTTGGCTACTTTTACCTAGCAATGAGTACATTTATGTGCTGAGCCATCTTGCTGGCCCATGAGCGTATTTTTCTTAACCTCATATGTGATAGAGATACAGGTTTATCTTTTTGAGGTGTTATGAGGATTTCATGACATGTACATTAAAGTGACAGTGGGACACCAAGAGCTCAGTAAGCAGTAGTTAGCCACAAGGAATATCCACAGGCCTTGGTAAACTAGAGGATAAAACTGAAGCAGGACCAAGGCTGTCTGTAAGAAAGGGAGAAACCATGTTGGAAGGGCATGCAAATCTAACCCCTTGGCTATACTTGGGGGATTATGAGGTAGAGCAATTTCTCACCTGGACATGTTATCTCCTCTCTCTTTTGAATCACAGTCACCTTCAAGGTTTCTGCATTAATCATTAAAATGTGGCCCTCTTCACAGCCAACATACAGGTCACTTGTTGGAGTCCAGCAATGCATAGTGGGGTGAAGCAATGGGTATGTATCATCTTTTGGCTTTGGGACGAGAATAAAGCCTGTGTTAAGACAGCACTCATGGTAAAGAAGCACAGAAACACTCACCAATGTTGGGGGACCCTGCTGCTAAGGTTGTAGTTCTCCATGTCTAGATAGCTCTAAGGGGCTCAGTGCTATATCAAAGGACTCCCTTTCTCAGCCAGGGGGAGGGTCCTGCTCTCTGCCTGACTTACCTGGAAAGTGCCACCAAGCATGGATGCCTGACCTTATTTGGAACATGACCTTTGGCATAGTTACCTGCAATAAAACCCCCAGGTTTTTTCTATATGATAATTAGGCATTGCCCTATAGTCGGATGATAGGATCCCCCTACCACATGTAAATAAAGCATACTATGAGCACCTATCAGCTGAGGCTTTGGCTGCTGCCTCCACACTTTATTTTCCCTAACCCCCACTGAATAAACAGAGCTGTTTCACTGAGTCTGGAGCTGTATCACTGAATCTGCCTCCCTGAAAGGCTTTCTTCCGTCAGCGCTCACTGGCTGTCCTGACCCGTTTGTCGCTTCTGCTCCCTTTGTTCTCGTGGATCGGTGGCCAAGGACCCACCCATGAGGGGAGAGAGAGACACCACACACCAACAAAGAAAAACCAATGCTCATGGCCACCTGTAGGAATGACTTTAACAATAATCCAGACTAATGACTTTTAATTAACCACAGCAAAATCACAGGGGCTCTTATGTCTGTGACCTGGGCACCTGATCTTGTTTCCTTGGCAACCTCAATTTGGTGCTCCGCCTCAAAAGAAAATGAATGAATGTGGTAGTTTGAGAATTAGCATATCAAAGTGCTGAAAATGCACACAGTGAAACTGGAGAAGGATGACTGACCTTGGATGAATGAGATATCTTAGAACTAGGGATGAAAGGGCCAATGGTCTGTTAAGATTAGGGTGGAGCTAAATTTTACTTTCTGAATGAAGCAGGAGAAACTGTTTTGAATAAAAATTATGGGTGGGGTCTGACTCAAGGACAGAGTTCCAAGAATAGAGTTCCGAAGGCAGTTTCATTCACACAGTTCCAATAGATATCTGTGGGAATGGGTATCCTCTAAGTTTGGGTCTGTTCTTAAAAATGAAATTTAAGAGTCAGGCTTTTTGATCAGGTAATTGTAATGTTGGCATGGTAACACTGCAGCCACCCATAAATGCATTGGTTTTTTACTTGCCAGCATCAAAGTGAATTCTTCCTCAAACCATTTTTCTCTATTTTATTTCATTACGGAAAGCTAAGGATTCCTGCTAATGCATTCAGAGCTTTGTTCTCACAGGTTCTCATTAGAATTTGGATTAACATCTTATTAACTACTTCTTAGTGGCTCCGATTGGGATCTTGAAACCTTGTCTGGCTAAAAACACCCCTTTGCAGGGAAGATTTTTTAAGTTAATAATTAATTATGTGTTATTGATGTCTATGTGTATGAGTGTTTTGCCTGCCTGTATGTAAGTGCACTATGTGTGGGCAATACCTGCAGAGGCTAGAAAAGGGTGTCAGATCCCCTGGAAGCGCGGTTACAGATGGTTGTTAGCTGCCGTGTGGGCGTTGGGAATCCAACCTTGGTCCTCTGCAAGAGCAGGCAGTGCTCTACTGCTGAGCCATCTCACCAGCCCAGCAGGGAAGATTTTTATTAGCATTCCTCCTTTCTGATCCTCCAGGGGTCACTGTTTGAAGGTGGCTTGGAGCCTCTGGCTTTCACAGGAACTGAGAGGACCCTTGGCCTGAGTCTGTGGCTTCTCTAATTTGGTTTGTGAGACAGCCCATGTGACTTTGATTCCATAGAAGGAGAAACAGAAAATCTGTGGAATGTACTTAGAAGGAAAGTTGACTTTGGGCACTGAAAACAGTTTGGATGAAGTTGAAAAGCAAATTAATTTTTCTGTAAAGGACTAGGGAGTGGATATTTTAAGTTTTGTGGACCATATTATGTCATATATCCTTCTTTCTTTTTTATGATCCTTAAAAAATATAAAAACCATTCTTAGGCTTGGTCACAAAAATAGATCATAATTTGTTTGACTTTGCCTTAGATGGTACCACTCAAATGTTCTGCCCCTAGCCTTAAGCACCCATGTCTGGCAAGGAGAGGCTGTCCCTTGTCAACATAGTGCCAGCCTCAAAGACCTCCTCGTAAGCCTTGAACAAACCACAGACTCTCTTTCCTGAAGCTCGGCCACTATCTTAGAAATGTCACCCCAGCACTAAATTTTGCATTCAGGATACTAGAATAGGACCCTCCATCCTTCCCTCTCTCTTCCTCTCTTTCTCCCCACTTTTCCCCTGCTCCCCTCTTCCCCTCCCTTTCATCCTTTCTGCAGGTCTCTTGCATGCTAAGCAAGCATGCTACCTCTGAGCTACAGCCCCACCTACTCCTAACTATTCAAACATACAAATGTACAAATGTGTGTGTGAGAGAGACAGAGACAGAGACAGAGAGACAGAGACAGAGAGACAGAGACAGAGAGAGGTTGAGTACTGAGCATTCGGCTAATCTAGACTTCTTAGACTTGTACCTTGTTTTCTTTAGGTACCTTATATCCATCGATACAGAAAACCCTTTCATTAAACTGTAGGCCAAATTACAGGACGTGTAGATTCTTTAAGAGCTCCACATTTATGTCCCTTTACTCACGTTTTCATTCATCTAACAAATGTTTATTGGGTGTTTAGTACTTTCCAGATGCTGTTCCAGGTATAGGCATATGGCAGTGAATGAAAGAGAGAGAAAAAATTCTCTACCCTTGAATGTTATTTCTAAACAAAACTGGTTGAACGCTGGAGAATGCCTTGAGGCAGATGGGAAACAGCAAACAGCTAGTAGACTTTTTCATATATGGCCTGCTCTACAGTTGGGGGTTTGGTGAATGGCACAGGTTCTCCCTAGTGGTAAGGGAATTGGGCTGGACATCCACAACAAGCAGTGTCTGAAATGAAGTGACTGCAATCAGCATCTCTACTGCCAAAAGAAAGGCTGAAAATTCACATGTGGAAACAGTGAATTCTCTTTCCTTTGCAGTGACTACAAGGCTGAATCTAGTTTCCAACAGGAGACTCTGGAAGGGCCTGCAGTGATGTCCCCTCCCCACCAGATGGGACACCCTGTCACAAAATGCCTTTTTTTTTTTTTTTTTTTTTTTTTTGTCTTTTTGAGACAGGGTCTCCCTGTAGCCCCAGCTCTCCTGGAACACCCTATGTAGACCAGGCTGGCCTCGAACTCACGAAGATCTGCCTGCCTCTGCCTCCCAAGGGCTGGGATTAAAGGCGTCCGCCACCATGCCTGGCCACAAGATGCCTTTTAAAACCTTTTTAGTGCTTTGAGAGGTGAAGCCAAGTTAAACATTAGCACTCGGCAGAAAAAGGAATGTTTACTTCAGCCATTCCAACACTGACAGTGCTGGCTGGATTTGTTGTTTCCTTCTAAATTAGATTTTCTTTCTCTATAATAATCACCAAGAGAAAAAAGCAAAAGTTAGAACAGATAGGACCAGGAGTACTGGGGGTGGGGGGGTATGGTGGGGCCTGAGGGGCTCAGCAGGGATAAGCCAGTTGTGCTGATGTGTGGTCAGAGTGCTGTGTATCCCATCTCTCTCCTCAACCACTCATCAGACAGGACATAAATGCTCAAAACACAGGCCCATGGGCCTTAAAGAAGTCTCATTCATCTGCAAAGTGAAAGCATGAGTTTTGTTTTTGTTTGTTTGTTTTTTAATGTACCATCAAAGTATCTTTATTTTTAGCTTAATCTTTATGGTATAAGCTACATAGGCATTCCTGTTCATAATTTTTTTTTCGGTCTTTTTGAGACAGGGTCTCCCTGTAGCCCCAGCTGTCCTGGAACTCACTATATAGACCAGGATGGCCTTGAACTCACAGAGATCCGCCTGCCTCTGCCTCCCGAGTGCTGGGATTAACGGCATGAGCCACCACGCCTGGTGCTCCTGTTCATAATTTTAATTGTTTAGACATGTGCTTCATGATCAGAAACTAAGCATGCTGTTTACTCCTCAACTGAGCGTGCTTAGGAATGGACCAGTCCCCTGTATGAATATGTGTAGGTTCCCTGAATAGAATCCTCATTCTTCCTTTGTTCAGGAGGGTGTTGGAAATAACTCCTGTGTTGTCCTTGTCTGCTATAGTTATAAATCTTTCCCACACTTTAAAAAAAAATTCTCTACCCTTATGGAGTGTATCTACTGATGAGGGGAACAAAGAGTGAAGCATAAGTTATGAAGTTAAATATATAGAATGCTATGTGCTGAAAAGCACGATGGAGAAAAGTACAGTCAGAACAGGTGTCATGGCTGGGAAACACTGTGAAGTATATAAACAGTCACTTTTCTAATTAAAACTCCCTGCTGTATGCAAGCCACTGTGCTGACAAATACTCAGTTGTTTGATAATAGATGTTGCTCTTTTAATTTACAAAAGGTCTGTAGATTCACAGTAGTGAGAAATGTAACACTGCCAAAGTGTTTCTACCAGATTCCCAATGGACCCAAGGTTGTTGCATGATGCATATTTATTTTTAAAAATATTTTATTTATTATTTTATCTTATGTGCATGAGTGTGTTCCCTGCACGTGTGTAAGTGCACCCATGCCATGCAATGCCCTTGGAGGTCAGAAGAGAGCATCAGATCCCCTGGAACTGGAGTTATGGACAGTTGTTAGCCACCATGTGGGTGCTAGGACTCAAACCTGGGTCCTCTGCAAGAGCAGTCAGCGCTCTTAACTGTTGAGCCATCTCTCCAGCCCCAAGATGCATATTTCAATAAATGCACACTGACTACTGGTTATAAAGCAGGCACTATATCCAGTCCTGAGGGATGCTTCTTAATGGGACAATCTATTTGGAGAAGTATTAATAGGTATTGGAATGAGACAACATAGCAGGTTAATGGCAGAGAGGGGTACTAGGGGCACAGCGGTGAAAAGGCAACAGGTGCTTCTTAGTGGAGGGAAGGCAGTGGGATGACGTTACCCTTCAGGGTCAACCCTGAAATAGAACTATGGCAGTAATCATACAGAGGAAGATGCATCGGGACCGTGTTTTAAAAGGATGGGTGACTTTTATTGTATGATTGGTCTACTTCTCACTTTTGCAAATGTGGAAAGTTAGAAAGGAAATACCTGATAACTACCTGGTCACTCCACCCTCCTCAAAGCAACACCACCTAAAGGGATTAAGCTGCTGCCATTAATGGCATCCCTGTGGGGACTGGCTGAGGTTTGACTCATGGAGAAAAAAGATATTTGCTGAATCACAATATTTTAAAACCCCTTGATTGTTTTGATGACATTTAACCTTAGACTACAAATCATAAAAAGACTCTAATTTGGCATAGCAGTGAATACATATATATATATATATATATATATAATTGCTTTTGAGAGAGGATCTCACTACATAGCCCAGGCTGGAGTGGAACTCTTGATCTTCCTGCCTCTGCCTCCTCAATGCTGGGATCACACCTGTGCTCAGCTCAAAAATCTTAAAAAAAAAAAAAAAAAAAACCCTCCCTACCACCTGACTGGTTCTCCCAATACCATAGAATCTGTGTGTATGAAACAATGTGACGATTAAGACTTGGAATTGTCTGGTGGTGGGATTGTCACTGCATAATGTGTGATTTTTATTTCTTGTGGTCTTGCCATCATATATTGTTGTCTTTAAGAATGTATTTGGTGTTATTCAAGAATAAATGTGGTATTGTACAAACAGATATAGTTTTCAATTCTGAGAGTTTAAAAGAAAGGGCGCATTATAATTGTGTTTAGAAATATTTTCCAATTTAAACTCCTTTTTCAGTCCTCTAGGATCACAAATCAAACATCTGATCACTTCAAGACCAAACATGAAAAATTGGATTCCAACTTAGTACTGCTTTAGAAGCTGGCAATAAGCAAATATGTTGAGGAATACTTGAGTTTATAAAAGAGATTCTTACCTAGCAACTTTGGTTTAAAGAGAAAACTGGACCCTTGAGATTAAATTGATTATGTTGGATCCAATTTCTGCTCAGATAATATCTATCTTTGATTTTTTTTCTCCACACCATAACTGGATAAGTTTCTAATGCTCTAAATAACTTGTATAATGTGTCTCGGACCTGTTTAAGGGCCTATGATGTGCCCTTCAGGCAGTAGCTAAGAGAAAGACAATGGGATTAGTTAATGTCTGTAACCTTGTAAAAGTCCCCAGCTTGCCGATTTTCGAGACTCTAACATAGATCAAATCATCATTGATTTCTTTGCCATTAGTGCCCCAAGTCACAAGGAATAACACTCAATGGACAGAATGGAATTGAGACATTTGAGAGCTACTTTCACCTATGCATACATTCACTGCACAATCACGCATCAATCTTTTAGCCATTTTCCTCACTATGTTTATACATAGAACAAAGGACAAACTACTGGGAAATTTGATTTCTAAACCGAATGCAAGGAATATGCTTCATTAACATTCCCTGTATGACTCAGAGCTCTGAAACGGCAGCATTTAGAAAATGGTTCAAATGCAGAGTAGGAAGCCTATGACACGACGGTATTTATTGATGAACACTGTTTAAGATGGAAACTCTGCATGCAGGTATCTATTTTTCCTTTTCTCTCTTGTGTGTATGCGTGTGTGTACTCTGGAAGGCTGGAAGTCACCAGCACACGCGTCTTCTATCCATCTCCATCTTATTTTTTGACTTAAGGACTCTCACGGAACCTGGAGCTCCCTATTAGGCTCCAGTGCAGGGATTACAGGGGCCCCACTCCTCCTGCTTGAGTAGCAAGCACTCTACACCCTGTACCCTCACCACCCCAGTCCCCACACTGAAGCATGCAAATGAGGTATTTGATAGCCTTCTTCAAAAGCAAAGAGCAGTTGCCTGAATTTTAAACGTTTTACGTAGGATCCATCTCATAGTATGAAGTGTGAAAGATTAGGATTCCTAGAGAAGTTTGCTGCAAGAAGAAACAAAAAGATGTGAAAGTTTGGGATTTCCTGGCACCACATAACAAGACCAATGCAAATTCAAGCCAGACAAAAATCCCAGATGGGGGTGGGGGTGGGGCTAACTGTAGCTGAGGGATGATTTTGGGAACTGACAGATGCTGGAGGAAGGAAGGGTCAGTTTTCTTTAAGGATGTGACACTGGGTAGGTTGACCAGGCTCCAGATGGACCCACAGCCAAGAGCATTTAGGAGACAAATTAGACTCAATAGGCCTTAAAAAAAAAAAAAAAAAAAAAAAAAAAAAAGGAAGACATGAAATTGGCGGAGGTAATAAGGTAGGTGTGGAGATTGGGGAAAAGGGTCTGAAAATGACCAAAACACATTGTATGAAATTCCCCTGAAAATTAGTTAAAGACGGGAGCAAGCGGATGTAGTGGCCGAGCTCCTTGTTTTTACTTTTCTGCCCCCTTGTGGCTGAGTGTGGTGACACGTCTTCCAAGGCTAAAACCTGGGCTGGGCAGGAACTCCGTAATTTGCAAAAGCAAATCGTCGCCATTGATTAGTGGAAGTACTGTGGGCACGAATCTCTTCTCTTGTTTGCCGCAGACATTTTGTAATGAGGTAGTTTTTCACGGTGAATTACGTTCAACACTCTTGGCTTCATTCTCTGCCGTGGTCTTAACATTTGTACACATTACACTTCCCCTGTCCTCTGCTTGGTTCCATCTGAACATCAGTCCCAGAGACTCTGGAGAGTGATGCCGCTTACCTTCATTCTAGATGCCCTGTGCTGCAGCTTCCTGTGCCCTGTCCCCCTCTGGTCACCCCCTGCACTTCATTTCCCACTGTGTCCTCATCTATCACACTCCAAGCCATGCAGATCTTTTCTCAGGACAAGCCCCCCCCCCAAAAAAAAAACATGCCAAGGCCTTTGCACATGCTGTTCCCCCGCACCTGAAAGCAGCCTTGCCTGCTTGTGCCTCAAGTCTCAGACTCTAAGTGTCAACCCCCCCAGAGGCCTTCCTCATGAGCATGTGGAAATCCTTTCCTGGCCACCTCACCCTGTTCTCCCAGGCATCACCTCGTGCAAAGAGTTACTCTATATCCTTGCTTTGGTTGTTGCACCATCTCTCTGACATGGGCTGGACTCCAACAGGTTGATCAAATCTGCTTTGTCACCATGAGGTCTCATTATCTGAAAGAGTGCCTGCTGTGCAGAAGGGGCTTGATATACTCCGGTGGAAGGAAGGAGGAAAATGAGAAGAAGAGAGGGAGGGAGGGAGGGAGGGAGGGAAAGAACTAGGGGGTGTGTGGAACTGTTAACAAATTTTCTCTTTTGAGACTCTCTTGTCTGTTCTTTTCTCAGGCAATTGCTTGTATTTGGAGAGGTGTCTACTCCCCGACTCCTTTCTTTCCTCTTGACTTTGGTGGTCTGTCTCTTCTCTGGCTGTTTTCTTCCCTTGTACTTCCTCTGCTTGTTCATCAACCCCCTCCCCTGTGCTCCCAGGTGCTACCTGTGAAAACAACCCTAAAGTGTCTCCAGCCTGGCCACCTTGTTCCTGACAGGGAGCCTACTTGAACACTTCTACCCTGTAGCTCTACCTGGATACTTCTCAGATCCTCAATGTCAGTCCATCCAAAATCAAAATCACATCTAGACACCTGGTTTCTGCCACCACATTCCTGACCTTACAAACTCAAGCGTGCAGAGTCTATGACTCTCATTCTTCAGGGCTAATGAAATAAAAATTAGGACAATCCTCTCTGTCATAACTGTCTCATGATCAAATAGGAACTCACTCCAGGACTGGAGAGATGGCTCAATGGTTAAGAGCACTGACTGGTTTTGCAGAGGATCCAGGTTCAATTCCTAGCACCCACACAGCAGCTAACAAATGCCTGTAACTCCAGTTTCAGGGGATCAGACACTCTCTTCTGACCTCCAAGGGCAATGCACAGCATGGGTGCACTTACATACATGCAAGCAATACACTCATACACTTCCAAGACTTCCACCTGTTAGGCAAGCAAGGTAATTACCCTGAAAGTTTCTGCCTCTTCGCCTACTAGCCTGGCAATGGCTGACAGTGGCAGCACAGGTCCGTAGATGGGGTCCTTGTGCAGTGAGGTGGGGAAAAGCATGTCTGTTTCATTTGGAAATGACCCATCTTCCAGGGGCAGTTTTACTGACCTGTAGATAAAGGAGCCATCAGAACAATCAGATTAACAGAAAGTAATTATAGATAGAAGCTCTGCATATCAAGGTGAGGAGGAACATTAAAACACAGAGATAAAAAGCCAAAAGATAAAATATACAGTGTGTCATAGACTGGCAAGTTATGCACAGTTATAAGTTAAGTACACAGAGATTACCAAAAAGATCCAAAGTTAATGTCTAAAACAAGAACTGTAGACTTGAATGCTGATGGGGGACTCGGTAGGAAATGGTGGAGGGTGTTGGGTGAGCTACAACGGATAGGAAAGTGTTTGCCCCTTGTAAAGATGATAGGTACCATTCAGTTCCAGCCAAGAGAGTTGTTGACATGCAAGAATTTTGGATCCAACCTACCAACATCTGGATATTCGTGAGAAATATTTCAAATTTTAAATGTTGATAATTAACTCAAACAAAAGTTCAGTGATCTAAAATAAGCATGCCTATAGATTGAATCCAGCCACCTCTGCAATTTCTGATGTCAAGAATGAATCTTTAAATTTATCATACATCTACTTTTAATCTGTGATGTGGTTATAATAGTGAGTTTAGAGAATTTGTGACATTAAATTGGAAACCTCTTTGATTGTGTTTCATGATTGCTGAAGTAATTTTGGAGCATGGCCACACCGCTTCAGTGCATGTTTTGAGTGCTTTCGAGTCCTGCTGCCTTCTGAGTCGGAATAATCCACTCCGGTGCCTTTGCTTATAGAAGAGTCACACAAGCCAGCATTTGGAAGTACGATACTCAAGGGAAGCAAAGAAAAAGGGGGGTGAGAAATCAGTTGCCTCTCCTGACAGGATCTGATAGTGACATCACCCACATTGTTAAGAGAGTAGCATGAGCTATGACTAGAGACAGATTTGTTATTCAGGAGGTTCTTGTAAAAATGAACTTGAGGGACAAAAAGTGCTAAGCAGGACACTCAGCTGTCTCCAGCTTGAAAAGGCTGTTTTTTTTTTTTTCTTGTTTTTGTTTGTTTGGATTGTTGTTGTTGGTTGTTTTGTTTGTTGGTGGATTTATATTTTACCTTAGGTGGTTTTTCAAAGATTGCATTTTCAAGAATATGTTCAGTATCTTTTGGTCTTGAACACGGAGTAGACTGAAAATGGTCAGCTCACTGGCCCTTTGGAACTTTGAACTCTTCACAACAAACATCCATAATCACCTATCACGTGATCAACTGCTTGTTGCAGAATTTCCCTTTCACTCATTTCATTTTGAACAGGCAGTTCCCATAATTCTGATATGTGAAAATACTCTGGTTTGCATTATGTGGCAGAATGTGTATGCTACCATCTGCGCACCTATTATTTAGTACTTTACTCTTGAGATTTCAGTAGGGCACAAAAGAAATAGGAGCAAAAAGTCATTGGCATCCTTTTTAAAAACACAGTGGTCCCATTTAAAAATATTAATTAGAACAAATCAAATTCTGTTAAATTGAACCATGTTGGAACAAGCTCTCAGAGGACTGGGAAGTCAAATAGGATCTTTTTGACATATAAAGAACCACTCCACGGTAATTATATATACAGAAAACTGTTACAACTTTTGATAGTTGAATATCTGTGTGTGGGTATGCATGTGTATACTGTAAAAAGCTATTTAATTCATCAGAGTAGCCCAGTCACAGAACACGAATGCAAAGGAAGACCATCACATTGTTACATAACAACAAAGTCTCCTACTTCATTCTGAAATAATGCTCCTGGTTACTTCTCTCAATGGTCCATATGCTCACTGCATTTGAACTTGATAAACACAGTTGATTCCAGTTCATGGGGTTAAAAGACATCTGACTCACATCCATACCAGGTTGTGATTTCCTGCATAAGATGACACTGGTTTCCCAGTTCCTTAGAGAAAAACAGCATTTAAGGAAAAATTAATTCAATTTAATTTTTTGTGTAGAAAATATTTTAAGATAATTTACATAAACTGAGGCATAGTTTATATAATTTTTATAACCTATGACATAAGCCCTAAATTTATAAATGACAATGCCTAAAATAAATCTAAGAAATTAAATATTGCCCATTTTAAATATTGCACTTTTGAATACTACATCACAGCTATTTTTTTAAATTTTTATTTATTATTTTTATTTTATGTGTATGAGTGTTATGCCTGCATGTAGGTGAGTGCACCTATGTCGTGAAATGCCCATGGAGGACAGAAGAGGTTGTTGGATCCCCTGGAACGGGAGTTCCAGACAATTGTTAGCTGCCATGTGGATGCTGGGATTTGAACTGGGTCTTCTGCAAGAACAGTCAGTGTTCTTAACCTCTGAGCCATCTCTCCAGCCCCTCTATAAAAGATCTTAAACCCTTCCCTGTTTGAATTTCACTCAGCAACTCACTAGCTATATAAATTTAACAAATAGCTTTAAAAAAATTCAAACCAGGAAAAAAGAAAACTTGTGTTGGCTCAGTTTCTGTGCTGGATAGTTTTAGTTGTTAACTTGATGCACCTGGGCAGACGGACCCTTAATTGGAGAATCTCCTCCACTGGACTGGCCTGTGGTCATGTCTGTGGGGCATTTTATGAATTTTTGAGTGATGTGGGAGGGCCCAGTTCACTGTGGGTGGTGTCACTCCTGGGCAGGTGGTCCTGTATTGTATAAGAAGGCAGGCTGGCTAGGCATGGTTGTGCACTCCTTTACTCCCGACACTTGGGAGGCAGAGGCTGGTGGATCAAGGCAAGCCTGGTCTACATACTGAAGTTCCAGGATAGCTGGGGCTACAGGGAGACCCTGTCTCAAAAGAAAAGAAAGCAGCAGGCTGAGCCTGAGCCAGGGAGCAAGTCAGTAAGCAGCACTCCCAGAACGCCTCCTCCATGGTCTGTGCTCCAGGTTCCTGCCCTGGGTTCCTGCCTTGGCTTCCCTTAGCAATGGACTGTGCTGTAAGCCAAATAAACCCTTTCCTCCCGAAGTTGGTTTTGGTCAGTGTTTTCACCCCAGCAATATGAAAGCAAACTAGAACAGTCTCTATATCTTCCTGGAATGTATTTTCCAACCAAGTCCCTTGGATAAAAAGTAGACTTTGTCCCTTGCTTTGCACCCTGTCTGGAAATGAAACTTTGTTGTCCTAGCAGCAGGCCCCAAGTGGTAAGGACAAGAATGGCTTTAAAGGTGGAGTGTTTAACTATGAAACAGAGACCATGCTGTGATTGCATCACTGTATTACCTAATAGCTCAGTCAAGTGCTGTGGTACAGAGACTTCTGGAAAGTTATTCTTAGATTCAACCTAGATGTTCTATTTAATCATTTTTATATTCTCTCTCTCTCTCTCTCTCTCTCTCTCTCTCTCTCTCTCTCTCTGTGTGTGTGTGTGTGTGTGCAGGTGTGTAAATGTGTTGTTTAGGCATTCAGAAACTATTGTTCCTGAATGTTTTGGCCCCCCTTCATCCATACGCTTTTGCATAAAGAGAGAGCCCTCATAAAGGGATCCTTAGCCTTATAAAAAGAGATTCTAGATAGCTAACAGGTGGCTAGATAGACAAAGTGTGGCCACAGACTAGAAAGGAGCTACAATTGAGACACGCAACAGCAGAAGCAAGTTTCGAAACCATTATGATGCATGGAAGTAGACATAACAGAATGCAAACTGTGACTCCCTGTGTAGGAAATTCTAGAAGAAGTAATTTAATATGGACTGACAGCAATCCACCAGAGGTTGCTTGGGGCCAGAGCAGGGACAGGGGAAGGGTTTGTGTGGCAAGGGCCAATAATGAGGGTTTCAAGAGTCATGAGAAAACCCTTGTGGGTAAGGGATATATTTGTTGTCTTGGCTATGGTGATAGCTTTGAGGGTGTTTACATCAGTCTAAATTAAACTGGATATTTTACATATTAATGGTTTATTATCTGTCAGTATATCTCAGTAAAGCTGGGATGCCTATTGTTGTTTCTTGTTTGTTTCTTTGTTTGTTGTTTTTGGTCTTTTTTGGTGGTGGTGCTGCTAGGGAGAAAACTCAGGGCTTCAAACACGCTAGAGAAAACACTCCACCAGTGAACTACATCCCCAGTCTTCAATAAACACCTCTCTCTCTCCCTCCGTCCCTCCCTCCTTCCCTTCCTTTCTCCCTTCCTCCCTCCTTCCTTACACTTTAGGCCAGGAGCCCAGGTTGGCCTGAAACTAAGTAGCCTAAGCTAGGCTTGAACTCACCTCAGTCCTTCTATGTTGATTTTCCAAGTGCTGGAATTACAAATGTAAGCCACCATACTTGGCTCAGTAAAGCTCTTTTTGAAAAATGATACATAGGGGTTGGGGATTTAGCTCAGTGGTAAAGCGCTTGCCTAGCAAGCGCAAGGCCCTGGGTTCGGTCCTCAGCTCCGAAAAAAAAAAAAGATATATAAATTAAATGTGGCTCACTGAACCTAGACTCTTACATTTTTGTGTAAGAAATGTTGGTATATAATGACTGACCTGGAACATTTTGTAGTTCCCCTTGATAAAACAAATTTCCCTCCAAAGAGCTTTATATCACAGATGGAAGAGTGGGCTTCGTGAAAGGGCCCAGCACAAGCAAAGCTGTGTGCACCCCACAGGCTTTCCTACCCAACTGGCAAATAGAAGTGGTATCAAGCTCTACTCTATACGTACGGCTCTGGTGTCACTGTGAACTGTTACTTTAAACTGAGCTCTGAATACACAGACCATCTTAATTTCAACATAGGCAGAAAACACGCTAACAACTCAAAAGAACCATTATTTTAGGAAAAGATGAAACTTCTTGTATTTAGGATTGTATTCATTAACTGATGAAGGAAATATTGCAGCATGTTAATAAAAAGAAAAAAGAATAATTAATTTAGCTTTCATATAGTTTTTGCCCTGACAAATTTCACATCTAAACAGAATGATGACATGAAATCATATGACTAGGATTTTGAGTCTTTCCATTTTACCTGGTTTCATATTTTCATGTATATTTCTTTCAGTAAAATCCAGAAAGGGAAGAGTCTAATAAAACTAGAGAAAGAAATGTTGCAAGGTGCAACTTACCAAAGGGTCAATTCAAATTCTGGAAGGGAGGAGTAACTGGCCAGGTAGGTGCCACAGTAACTGAAGGAAAGTAAGGTATAGTCCAGGAGAACATTGCCTAAAATAGAAAATCCATTACAAGGACTTGGCTGCTGTTCTCAGGCTAACCACAGCCTTCCAGTGTGTGCCCCTTTTCTAGTAGCTTTCACAGACCTCTAAAGCACTTAACTAAGAGATGACCTGAACTACAGTCATGATGTTCCTGCCTCAGGTTCCCAAGTGCTGGGATTATAGGTACCTTACCTTTCTCAGTGAGATCCATTTAAAAAGTATTTATTATTTTATTTTTATTTTATGTGCATGAGTGTTTTGTCTGTCTGTAAGTGCGCCCATATTCTACAAAGCCTGCAGAGGCCAGAAGAGGGTGTTGCATCCCCTGGAACTGGAGTTACAGATGAGTTACCAGCCACTAAGTGGGTTCTGGGAGTTGAAACCTGGGTCCTCTGGAAGAGCAGACAGCTCCTAACCACTGAGCCATCTCTCCACCCTTGTGAGATTCATGTTTTAAAAAATATTTTATTATTTTTATTTTATGTGTATGAGTGTATTGCCCGCATGTATGTAAGTGCACTCATATCATATAATGCCCTCTGAGGTCAGAAGACAGCATTGTGTCTCTTAGAGCTGGAGTTACAGATAGTTGTTAGCTGCCATGTAGGTGCTGGGAATCAAACCCAGGTCTTCTGCAAGAACAGCCAGTGCTTTTAACTGCTGAGCCATCTCTCCAGCCTCGTGAGATCCATTTTTAAAAAAATATTACTAAGCCGGGCGTAGTGGCACACGCCTGTAGTCCCAGCACTTGGGAGGCAGAGGCAGGCGAATCTCTGTGAGTTCAAGGCCAGCCTGGTCTACATAGTGAGTTACAGGACAGCTGGGGCCACAGGGAGATCCTGCTTCAAAAAGACCAAAAATAAGTAAAAATATATATTATTTATTTATTTTTATTATTTTTTATGTGTATGAGTGTATTGCCTGCTTGTATGTGAGTGCACCTGTGTCATGCAATGCTGTGGAGGTCAGAAGGGGCTCCGGATTCCCCTGGAACTGGAGTTAAGGACAATTTGTCACAATGTGGGTGCTGGGAATCGAACCCGGATCCTCTGCAAGAGCAGCCAGTGTTCTTCATTGCTGAGCCATCTCTCCAGCCCTGTGAAATCCATTTTTAAGACCATTAGGTCCCTGTCTTTTGATTTCAGTGCAGAACTGAACAGACTATGCTATAATGTCCCAGGCTGATTTGAAACGAATAATTCAAGACTTTTGAACCATCTAAGACATAAGACATTGTAATCAGAATGGTTATTCAAACTTCAAGTATCGTGAGAGGTTGTAATAATTCTAGCTTGTCTGGTATTGAATCCTTAGCCCATATCTGGCCCTGGGCTCAGTCTCTTCTGGTTCTTAGAACAACTATAAAGGGCTGCATTCTCATTTAAACCTCTGCTGAAGAACCATATTGCGTTCAAAGCTTCAGCAATGAGATGTTTAAAACATGGGTCATGGGGATGCCAAACCCGGGACAGGTTTATCTCTGGTTTCTGTGTATGGAGGCTGATTGTCCTCCCTTTTATGGCTCATTAGTGTGGTTTGCATGGGTGCAAACTTTGCCTGGACTGTACATGGGTTCTGGGGATCTGAACTCCTGTTGTCACTTGTTCAGCAAGTGCCTTTATCCACTGAGTCATCTCCCCAGCTACATATTTCTCCTCTTAACTGACCATAATATAACACTAAAATGGGCCTTTGCCATTGAATTTATTTTGTATAGTCTAATCAAAAAAGAAAATAAGATGTATTTATTAGGTATACAATGCAAAAATAATATTCTATGGTATGAGACCTTAATAGAATCATTTTGTATCCTTGCTATGTAGGACATTTTCTCTATCATCAATATTAATATCAAGTAAGTTCTAATTATTATTATGCTATTTACATATTTAAATTTTAAAAATATGATTTTTGAAATTTTGAGAAAGTATAAGAAAAAAACATACTCTTTGTGATTCTAACATCACATTTGGTAAATTTCTGTCTGCTCTTTGTTTCTTCAGACAGGATCTCATGTAGCACAGGCTGGCCTTGAATTCACTGTGTAGCTGAGGATGGCCCAGACTACCAACCCTCCTGCCTCCACCTCTCCAGTGTTTGGATTACAGGTGTGTACTACAATGTGCAGGTTCCTTCCGATATTTTCTTCTGTGTGTTTAGATGTAAAAATGCATGGAAATATCTATTTTTCTTCATATGTAATTTGCTTTTATAGCTATAACAAACATGGATTGAATATTATATATAAAATACTCATTTTAAATTGGAATTTGGATCACAGTGCTCTGTCCTATTAGAGTTCTGTTAACACTGAAGTATTTTATCATTTTCTTAATATTTCTTGAAAATGTTGATTTTAAAAAATATTTTATTATTCTTATTTTATTGTATGAGTGTATTGCTTGCTTGTTGTGCAGTGCCTGAGGAGGTTAGAAGAGGGCACCAGATCTGCTGGAGCTGGAGTTATAGATGGTTGTTAGCTGCCATGTGGGTATTGGGAACCAAATCTAGGTCCTCTGCAAGAGCAGATGGTGCTCTTAACCACTAAGCCATCTCTCTAGCCCCTAAAATTTTGATTTCTAATGCTTGCAATAATAACCTTTCATGGGATTTTTAACATATTTACCAACATCCATAATACTGGGAGTGTGGGTTATTTTCTTTTACTATTATGATAATGATTTTAATTCCTTTGTACACAAACCTATAGCCATATTTCTGATTACTATATTTCCTTAAAATTAAACTCCAATTTTCATACTGGACATCTTTCCCAGAGACTCTGCTACTTTATACTCCTACTGCTGGGAACCAAGGCTGTTCCTGGCTTCACTGCACTCTGATTGCTAATCATGTTCTTCAAAATTTTCTGAACTTAATTGACAGAAAAAATAGCCATTGATTTAAACTACACTTAAGAATTTATTTATTCATTCATTGCTTGTGTGTGTGTGTGTGTGTGTGTGTGTGTGTGTGTGTGTATGTATGTATGTGTGTGTGTGTTTAGGTCAGAGGATGACTTATTGCCATCAAGTTTTCTCCTTTCACTTTTAACTGAGTTCTCGGGATAGAACTCAGGTCATTAGGCTTGCTCAACAAGTACTTTTATCTGCTGAGCCATCTCAATGGCCCTAAACTACACTTTCTTAAAAAAAAAATATTGAGGGAACTGGGGGTGGTAGTACATGCCTTTAATCCCAGCAATTAGAAGGCAGAGGGAGTTGTATCTCTGTGAGATCAAGGCTGCCTGGTCTACATAGTTCCAGGCCAGCTGGGGCTGCAGGAGACCTTGTCTCAAAAAGACAAAAAATATTGAGGGGAATGACTCAAATGACTCAAGACAAAGTATTTTCTTTTTAAATATTTTATTATTTTTATTTTATGTGTATGAGTGTATTGCCTGCATGTATGTGAGTGCACCTGTGTCATGTAATGCCCGGAGGTCAGAAGATGGCTTCAGATTCCCCTGGAACTGGAGTTAAGGATGGTTCATAGCCACCATGTGGGTGCTGGGGATCAAACCCAGGTCCTCTGCAAGAGCAGTCAGTGCTCTTAACCGCTGAGCCATCTCTCCATCCCCCCGGGGGAGCGGTTTATATAACTGGTCATTTATGATTTTGTGATCTAGCTTGGAAAGTTTCTTTTCTATCATTCTTACGTTTGTCTTTTTTCTGTTGCTTCATCAATGCCCTGAAAACATTTTATCATATTTGTTCTGTATATCTGCCTCAGTTTGCTCTTTGCACACTAATTTTCACAATGTATCTGTTTGTATGTTTTAAATGTTATATAATATATTGATCCTTTTATTGTGTATAAAGTTCTTCCCCATCCTGAAATAGTTTGATGTTCTACCCTGTCTTCTACTACTTTTCAAACAGGCCTGCTTCTATCAAATGCTTATTTTCATGAGACACATGATGTGATTACAGGAGATCTATCTTGATACTTTTGTTCACGCAGTTTTCTCACATCACTCTGGAAGAATCCATATCCTTTCGTGTTTCTTCATCTTAGACCTCACTTTTCCAGATTCTGTTTCTAGTCTCTTTCACTGATCTGGTGGTCTTTGCATGATGTTATGGTCCTAATTCCTAGAGTGTCACAATCTCATAAAGACCCTCTGCCTTGCCATTACCCTCTTTAATGATTCCAGATGAACTCTGGAATCCAGATAGACTTTGGAATCATTTAAGTCTACTCTCTAAAATAATAAGCCCGTGAATGGCTTCCTGTGATAAATATTACATATATATATGTCTTTTTGAGAACAAGTATATTTTTATAACAATCAGGTTTTATATCCAGAAATATATCTCTACAGAATTAAATAGCTTTAGTGAATTTTACTGTTTTCTTCATCTAGGTCACTGATATGCTTTTGGATAATTTCAAATCTTCTATACATGTAGGTATTTATTTTGAAACTAACATCTTACTAAATCATTCCTTTTTAAGTCTTAGCAGACTATACATAATCTCTTTTCCCATAGCTATACTTTTTGTCTACTATTTTATTGGTTAGATCTTCCAGGCTGGTATTAAATGACATGGATAATAACAGGTACCCTTGATGGCATATTTTGATTTTTATTGTGAATTCTTTTAGGGCTTCATTATTCAATATGGATGTTAACTATTGATTTGAATTAACTTCCAAGTTTGCACAGTGCTACAGTCACTAAACTAAGCTGGGGAAATTTTAAAGATGAAAGGTGGTTATAGTCCACATTAACAATTCCCAACATGTGACTGGATTGTTTTTATTGAGGTATCTTAATCTGTCAGGAAAACAGACAAATTTTCCCACCAATAAAATGTAAATTGTAGTGATGGTCTCTGATCTCATCCAAACACCTGTGATCCACACGGCACCAAAATCATGTTCAGCCTCAAGCAGGAGCCTTCTGTCCATGCTGTGTGTAGATTTTTGTTTGTTTTGTTTGAGACAGGGTCTTGCTTTTAGTCCAAGCTAAGCCTCGGCCTGCCTCCTCTGCCACCCAAATGCTGGATTACAGGCATGTGTCACCACACCCAGCTCCATGCTGTGTCAAATGGGGGCAAGGTTCATTAGATGGAGGCTCCAGGAAATATACTCAGGTCAGGTCAGCTGTGTCTATAAATAAGTCATTAGAAATACAAACAGTAGATAACCCTGGATAAGTGGGGTGTATGTGTTGTGTTGTGTGTATGTGTGTGTGTTTCATCTATCACCACCATGAACATTAAATATTTTTACCCCCATTTCATGGGTAAGAAAAATGAGGTTCACACTTGTCTTTATTAGTTATACAAATATCAGTTCATGTTAGAATTTCAATAATTTCTTAGGAAAGAAAAAAAATCATTGTTCTGAAAATGGTCAGTCTTCTAACCCTGGGTTTCTCATAGTTTAATGCATATATGAATCATTAGGCAAATTTTGTTAAAATGCAAATTGTGAATTTGTAGGTCTGGAGTGGGACCCAGTTTCTGCATTGTTTCTGCAACAGGATCTTGCCAGCTTGCCTAGGCTGGTGTCCAGTTCATGGGCTCAAATGAATCTCCTTTCTCAGTCTCTAAGGAGCTGAGTCTACAGGTATTTGCTGCCACACCCAGCTCAGTTTCTACACTTTTCAACAGTTTCCTGAGTAGCACTAATGTTAATGGAAAGCATACCACACTATGAGAAGCAAAGCTCTAGACTACTTAATTAAATCTTTAGTGGTCTGTTGAGTCCTTCTATTTAAAACAAACTCATTCAAAATATAAACCACCTTCATTCATAAGAACCAGAATTGGCCACAAAAGAAAACCCATCACTTATGGGTGGAGGAAGGGTCTCCCAAGATACCTTTTAACTTGGTTTTTCTGGTCAATGCAGGGAAGCTGTATATGTAGATGAAGGGTTTTAGTTTCCGGTCAGAGAAAGCCACGACTTCATAAGGAATGTTAGTTGCCATGACGCCCACAATTCCATTAATACACTGGAGTACAGACTTTTTCTTGGTTTCGATGTTAATAAATATCACATAATTCCCAGAAGGATAGCAAATGGTGTGGTTGTTGACAAAATGAATACTCTGATTAGGGAATCCTTGCACCCATCTTTGGGGAAAGATACATCAGCATCAATATAATACATTCCAAACAGTGTTTCTTTCCTTTTTTTCTTTAATAAAGCAAATTGAAAGTCATCAAAATCTTTGAAATACATCTGTTCCATTTTCACTTCCTCTCTCCTCCAAACAAGATAAACACTAAGAGAAACACATAGCTTATCGTGTGAGACCACGTTTGAGTTCAAGAACTATAGAAATTTAACACTCAATAGGTCTAGGACCAGCAAGATGACTCAGTGAGTAAAGGCACTTGCCACCAAGCTTGACGACCTGTGTTCAATCCCTGGATCCCACACAATGGAAGAAGAGAAGTGACTCCCACAAGCTGTCCTCTGACTTCCACACATGGGCCCACATACGTACACACACACACATACAAAATATAAAAAATAAATAATAAAAATTCAATATGTCCCATGGTCGTTCTTCAGAGAACTTTTCAGTAAACTAGTCAGACTTAAGGAGGTCACCAAAAGATTATGTGGTCTTGTACACTTGGAAGAGAAAACATGCAAACAACAGAGAAAGATCTGGATTCTAACAGAAAACAGTGCACCCAAGGGCTCTTGTGATTGGTTTTAGATTTTAAAAAATAAACTTTAGAAAACAACTTTGAGTAGGACAGCATGCTTTGTGGTTGTAAACTGTACAGGAAAGTTGTTTTTTTACACAGATCAAGTATATGTGACCCTAGTTTAGACCTAAAAATACAGATAAAGGCAGAAAACGAAAGGATGAAATAGAATGGGTGAAAGAATCAAACATAAAAGCAACATTTTCAGTTATGTGGTTGCTATATGGTGGAAGGAAAGTCCGAGATAAGAAAGCTCTGCTTTTATTTCAATATTAAAAATTGTATTTGAGCCTGGGTGGTGGCTCTTGGGAGGCAGAGGCAGGCAGATCTCTGTGAGATCGAGGCCAGCCTAGTCTACATAGTGAGTTCCAGGCCAGCTAGGGCTACAGGAAGGTATACATATATATATGCAAGCGAAGGACACAGGCTTGGTGAGTCCCCTCAGGAGATGGATTACTGCAGGTGGCACGCAAATAACACCCCCACCCCAGAAAGAAATACTTTTATCTGTGCACCTCTGCTTTCCAAAGCCCATCACAAACCCAAACAAACCTAAAGTTAGAGAGTGAGAGAAAGATGGGGTGGATAGGCCTAACGCTGGGGGATCTCGCCAAAGTCAAGGAAGGATGGGATGAGGGGCTGTCTGGGATCCGAGAGGGGTGTGCCTGAAAGCGCAGGGGAATACTGAGCCGGGAAGAGAGGGCAGACATGAAAGGCAGAAAAAAGAAATGCTGGGCGCCAAGAGCGGGTCCGGGTTGCAGGAAAAGGGGGGATGCAGTGGGGTGTGGGAGACAACACAGTAGGTGAGCAACAGGTGAGGGGACCAAGGGGGAGGGGCAGAAGAGGCTGCCTAGGGGGTCTGGGGGAGGGGGAAAGGCGTGGGAAGAAGGGGTGGGAGCAAACAGGCCAGGGGTTTCGGCAAACCCCAGCCCCGCGCGCGAGCTTGATGCGGTACCTGACGGACAGGGCGGCGCCCTCGGAGTGGATAGGAGCCTCGTTGCGCTCCAGGCCTTGCGCCATGGCTGGACCGCTCACGCCCGTTACCGTTACTCGGTGTTACTGCTTGGTTGTGCGGCAGCGCCCCAGCTGCTGCCACTGTTTACACCCGTATCCTGGAGACCGAGACCCCTGCGCCCATTGGCTGCGGAGCCACGCAGATACTCTCGGCCTATAGGGGAGCGACTAGCGAAGCGTAGGGTGGGATCTTGAGCTGGACGAGGCAAGGGTCCAACCCTGGCAAGTAGTTTCAAGAGTTATCAGTGTGCAAACGAAGGTTAGTTTTATGTGCAGCGATCCGCCAAGCGTTGCTCCAAGCTACAGGCAGGACATATTTAGTGTTCCAGTGTCGGAGGGGCAGCAACTTGCCCAACATCACAGAGCGGAGTGGACTTGAGGCCAGTAGTCTGAGTCAGGTTTTTGATGACCCTCTGCTACCACAAGGAAGCGGACGAAGTAATCTGAGAACAGTCGGCCATGCTCTAACTCACCCACCAAATGGTCTTTCCTCCCTCCTCCTCTTTTCCCTTTCTTTGCCTTCGCCCTCCTTCAGTTCTCTCCCTCCTACCTGGCCACCGTCAGCCTAAACAAACAACACACACAGAAATTCTCCAAAGAAAATGATGTTTATTTGGGAATAGCAGAGCACGGCCACGCGAATATTAACGTCATAATAAACTGTGGGCATATTCAAGGAGGTTAAGGCAAGGGGAATTTAAAAAAACGAAATGAGAATTATAGTAAATATTTTGAAATTATCCATAGCAACAGTGATTAGTAACAAGAATGATACTGAGGTAAGACTTTTTCCATGAGGACATGCGAAAAGAAGGGTTCCCCTTGGTGGAAACTGGTTCAAGCTTCTGGCCATCTGAGACTCACTAGTCTGACACAATTAACACTTGCTTGATCTTTTCTCCCTTCCCAACTGTAAATCTGAAATTTCCTAGAACACTCACCAGAATTTCTCTTTACAGTAAAAGGACAAGGCCTAACCCCCTGTGCAATCCTAGTGGCCCCTGGTTTTACCTTATCGGATTGTTCCTATCCAAGGTATGTTTGGAGCCACCCTGTATTCTCACTTACCAAAAAGAGAGGGAGAAAATAAAGGGGAGGGGGGATAGTTCTTAGCAGCCCTTTGAGATGTAACTTGAGAACTGCTAAAATGGCATATAAGGCTAATGCTAAGACACTTAACCAGGGCTCTCCCTGAGAATCCCACATCTGCATTTGGGTATGTTTTATTCTTTCCCTGAGCGGCCTTCTTTCTCTTAACCCCTGTGCTTAAAAATCTGTGTTAATCCCAGCAGAGGCAGGCTGATCTTTGTGAGTTTGAGGCCAGCGTGGTCTACATAGTGAATTCCAGGACAGCCGGGGCTACAGGGAGAACCTGTCTCAAAAAGACAAAAAAAAAAAAAAAAAAAGTATCTTTTAATAAATTGCAACTCTTCTTTGAGAAACCCAAACCCACACTTGTGGTTGTACATTCCCTGAATTTTTCCTATTTTTAACAAACGCCAACTTTGCTTCATACTGGCCCATCCTGAAATTCCTTTTTTGTGTTGAAGTCATGAATCCTGGGTTTTACCTAAGTCAAGATCCCCTTCTCAGTCTTCTGTTGGTGACAGTGTGGAAGTATGGAGCCGTGCCTCTATTCATGCCTCCACTGACAATGTCAGTGAATAAGCTACATCAGAAACATAGGTAGCCAGTTTTGTGTTTTTCTATAATGTTAGAATTTATTAAATAACAAGAAACTTGCAAGTTCAATCAATTTCAATCGCTTTAATGCATCAGCTACTCCTGATGTCACTTGGTTCCTCTGGCTATTGACAGTTTTTCATTCCAATCTTAATTACTAATATGAACTCTCAAATTACATATTACATTACACATACACAATATATAATTGATAGTAATGCAAAGAGACTCACATCTTAATGTAGGGAACCCAGGCACAGAGCTGTTCTTGTACAAGGCTTGTTAAAGCACAGAGCTCCAGGCACTGGGTTCCAACAAATGGTAATTTGAGTGGACCAGGTCAGAAAGGTCATGATGAGCTGAAGTCCCAAGGACAAATCTGGGCGTTCCTTGCCTGCTGATCCTGTGATGCATGCCCAGGATGGCCTGATGTTTTCTAATCCAGTGGTGGGTACCCCATCTTCTATATGATCTGGAGAGGGGTGTGCATCATCCCTTGATTGGGCTTATCCAATGTGGTTTTGATATATGCATATGTCCTTGTATATCTGATTTAATTTATTAAATCCATAGGTGATAATATTTTGTCAGTCTGCTTCACAGTTGGTACTGAATAGATGGTGGTTTCACAAACAAGAGAAAGAATAATTCTAAGTCTCTCTAATTCACATTCTTAGCATTTGAACTGTTTTATAACATGGAGTCACTCAGGGCAAGGCACAGCCTGAAAGCTATTATTCTACACAATGTAGAGTAACTTAGAGCAGACCTGATCCCCTGATCACCACAATCTGGGGTTGAACCTGTGGGATCACCTTTTGAATGAGTTCACAGTGGCCTCTCTGCAAGGTTGTAATCTTCAGTCTATTGTAATAGATATTTCACTTTACAGATGACAACAGAAACAGGTTAGTGACTTGTCAATTTTCAAATGGCGAAAAAGGGGTTGTTGGGTTCATTTTTGTTCTTCCAAACTGTATACATTGATGTGCTAATTCCCAGTACCTCTAAATGTGACCTTATTTGGAAACAGGGTTTAAGTTGAGAGAGGTTGGTACTGGATTGAGACCCTAACTCAACATGACTGGTGTCCTGATGGACATGAACATGGGGAGGATGCTGCAGAAAGATGAAGGCAGACAAGAAGTGATGCTTTCTGCACTAGAAACAGAGAGAAGCATAGGGCAAATTCTTCTCTACGGTCCTTAGTAGAAAGACACCCCTTGACACCTTCATCTTCAACTTTGTTCTAGTTAGCTTTCTCTTGCTGTGATAAACATGGACTAAAACCAACTTGGAGAGGGATGGGTTTATTTAGCTTGTACTTCCAAGTTATAATCTTAACATTTAGCAAAGGCAGAGAAGGAACCCAAGGCAGGAAATGAAGGAGAGACAACAGAGGAACACTGCTTACTGGCTTGCTCCCCCATGACTGGCTCAGCCACTTCTTTTTTTAAAAAAATTAAAAAAAAATTTAAGTATATGTGTGTATTGCCTCCATGTGTGTAAGTGCACCTGTGTTGTGAAATGCCCTTGGAGGACAGAAGAGGCTGTCAGATCCCCTGGAACTGGTGTTACAATTGTTAGCTGCCATGTGGGTGCTGAGATTTGAACCAGGGTCTTCTGCAAGCACAGCCAGTGTTCTTAATCACTGAGACATCTCTCCAGCCTCTCAGCTGCTTCTCTTATACAATCAAGACTCACTTGCCCAGGGATGACACAGCCCCCAGTGGATTAGGCCCTCCTACATCAACCAGCAATCAAGAAAACGCCCCCGACACGGGTCCACAGGCCAATCTGTTGGGGAAGTTGCTCAATTGAGGTTCCCTCCTCCTAGATGTTTCTAGTTTTTGTCAAGTTGACAAAAATAACCAGCACAATTGACACACAAATATATCACTTTTAAACATTACTTGTCCTTTCTTATTTATCCCCAAGATTTTATGTTAATGTCATAATCTAAAATACAGTAGAATCTTAAAATCCTCACACTCTTTTAAAGTTCCAGCAATTTTTTAATTAATTAATTAATTTATTTTTACACCCTCTTTCCAGATAGCACCCTCCCATAGCCTCCCTCCCCCCACTAGAGCCCTTA